ATGGGATTCTTTTCGTCTGGAACGGTTCAGGTGAAGACAGACTTGAGGCTTGACCTTGTTCCAGGGAATATGGGATTCTTTCGTCTGGAACGGTTCAGGTGAAGACAGACTTGAGGCTTGACCTTGTTCCAGGGAATATGGGATTCTTTCGTCTGGAACGGTTCAGGTGAAGACAGACTTGAGGCTTGACCTTGTTTCAGAGAATATAAACTTCCTGTTTTCTTTCCAGTTATTGGAAATGATAATTTCATGGTATTATGTTCGTGAAATCCGTTCCTCTGCGGAGGTGTTATGGGTATCGTGAGATTGTCATAATCTAACGTGTCCAGATTGCTGGGAGTTTTGTATAATAGAAAATCTAGTTCACGAGAACTTCGCGTGGTTTGGCTCGAGTAAAGTTTACTTTCTTGAGATTTCAGGTTTGGTGAATGAAGTTTATCCAATGCGTTCCAAACGTCCGACTGAAGACTACTGTTAGACTCTTCAAAGCACTTCTGTAAAGAACTTTGTCGTGTATATGAATGGACGTTTTGTCTTCTATTCTGGATATTTGCTTCTAGTTCCTCAACAGTGATTTGGTTTTTACTTAAACACTGAAAACCAATAACTTCTTCTTCCTTGACTTTCTGGGCGTATCTATTAAGATGATGGACGAGTCTTTTGTATAAGGAATGGCCAGCGTTGTTCACACTGGACGAATGTCTTACTACTTCTATTATACATTGCTGAAAGCCAGCGTGAAAGTTGTTTCTTGTAGCATCTTCCGATTTTTCTACTGTAAAACAAAATACACAAAAAAACTTCAATCATTATTTAAACTCCAAGTTGTCATAACAACATCACAGAAATCTAACTAACAGTACATCTCTGAAGAAATAATAAATGTGAAGTGTACTCTAATATTCTGTTTAGCTCGAAACGTCATCCTCTTCAAATAAAAATATACCGAAATATATATATATATAAATATACACAGACATATATATATATATATATGTATGTATAAATATACACAGACATATATATATATATATATGTATAAATATACACAGACATATATATATATATACATATGTATAAATATACACAGACATATATATATATATATAAATATACACGAATATATATATATGTATAAATATACACAGATATATATATATATAAATATACACGAATATATATATATATACATATGTATAAATATACATAGACATATATATATATATATAACTTGGCGATACTATTCTTTAATTTTGATATTTATTGACTACGTTTAGTTCCAAACTTTACAAATATGAAAACTGCCGGAAACATCCAATGTAATTTTAAAAATAATATTAAAATACATATGTGGTGTGACTATTTGATGGCCCCCAGTGGCACAGCGGTATGTCTGCGGACTTACAACGCTAGAATCCGGGTTTTGATACCCGTGGTGGGCAGAGCACAGATAGCCCATTGTGTAGCTTTGTGCTTAATTATAAACAAACAAACTATTTGATTTCTTAACTGTCGTGGAAAACGACTAGTTGATCTTTTTAACTTTGTAATAAACATGTAGACGGACAGCTTCAGTTCTTTATTATAAATACTTTATCGTTGGTTCAGCAATAAGTTTATGGGCTTATAATGCTAAAATCAGAGGTGGACAGCGCAAATAGCTCGTTGTGTACCTTTGCACAAAAAAGAAACAAAAACACCGGAAGTACTGTCAAGACTTGGAATGACAATAGGTAAAGCTTTAATTAATATTTCCTCTACTGGGTATTTTCCGAAAGCTTTAGTTAATTTTCCCCATCAGGTAAATTCCCTCGACAGAGTAAAATCTCTTGATCACAAGACAAAAATCGATTAAGGACTAAGCTATTTGTGATAAGGCTTTGTTGGAATTAGATTAACCTCAGCTGACGGGAGGTTATTGTTTCACTTAGGAGGGTATTTAATCCATCATGATGCGCCTATACCCTTATGAATGGCCAAGTGGTAAGGGCGCTCGACTCGCAATCTGTGGGTCGAGGGTTCGAATCCCCATCACACCAAACATGCTCGCCCTTTCAGCCGTGGGGCGTTATAATGTGATGGTCAATCCTACTATTCGTTGGTAAAAGAGTAGCCCCAAGAGTTGGCGGTGATGACTAGCTGCCTTCCCTCTAGTCTTACACTGCTAAATTGGGGACGGCTAGCGCAGATAGCCCTCGTGTAGTTTTGCGCGAAATCCGTAACAAACAAACCCTTATGAAGCCTAATAATAATTATTTTGGAGGAAAACGAAGATGTTTGAATTTTTTTAGCAAACTAATATCTATTCCTTAATTGGATTAAACGTGGAATTTATCCCTGTTCCAACTGATCAGAACCACCAAACACTAATTACCTGAACAAGATAACAATTGTAACTTTCGTAGCTGTTGCACTGTCAATTCCAAGATGTCCGCCTTCTCTAGTTTAGATAAACTATTTATGTTCTAGAAAAAGAAATATATAAAAATAAGTCTTGACGTTTCTTCGAACGCAACTGTACAATTAAAACTAAATACTCGGCATTACATTTGTCGTGTAAGAAGTATTTTAAAAAATTCCTAAATAATTATTGCACTTATAAGAAAAGCATTGAATATACGAAAACTAAAATCAGTTTCTATACTTCTCTTTGGAGTTTATAAAATGATATATATTTTTCAATAATGACAGGGACTTTTAATATTTAAAAAAATCCCTGACTTTAGTTCATCATCTAATATTATGATACATTTTGAATTGATATTTAGTCAGACGATTGATATACTGTGGCTAAAAAATATATAACTTATTCAAGATAATGTTGTAATTTACTGAAGCTAACACTCCATTTAAAAATGTCCAAATATTAAAAATGTATTTATTTTAACCCTGGTGTTAATTTTGTTAATTAGTCTTCGCTTTCCATTTGATGAACCTTGACCTACTTTTCGCTTTGTTGCTCATCTTCAAGTGAGATAATGTAGTATCTTTCAGAAACTAACACCCCATTTCAAGATGTCCAAATATTAAAAATGTATTTATTTATACCCTGGTGTTTCTTTTCTTAATAAGTCTCCGCTTTCCGTCTCATGAATATAGGCCTAATTTTCGCTTTGTTGCTCATTTCTAAATGTCTTTTTTTTTGTATTATTTACTGTTTGTATTTATAAATGCAACATCCTGTTATCTTCTTATATGGCACGTAATTTTGTATGCTGTTAAAAACTCCTTTAAGACTCGTATGGTTAGGATGTACTTGTAGACTCTGGACGATTTTCAAACATTTCATTCTCCACGCTGACCGAAACATTTTTTTTTTAAACATCGTTCATGAGTACATCCTGTCCATAGGAACCTGCTTGAAGCATTTACGCTACCCCTCTAATGAAAGAATAATATTATTAATATCTATTTAGGTTTTAAATAATTCATTGTGAATTACATCATTTAAATAATTAAATGATCTTTAATTATGTAAAAATTCCTTACTTCGAAACACTTTAACCCCTTCGTACAGTAAAGCAATGCTACACAAGATGAGTCCTGAATGTTAATCAAACAGCGTCACCTTTACTTCTTAAATTACTTACGTTAGTTTGCATGGAAAATATGTCGCAAATACATAAAATATTGGACGAAATAAACAATAAATTATCATGAAATTTAAATACTACGTCAACATTCGGAAAATACTGTATCCAATAAATCTGGTTAACCAAAAATTTCAAAACGATTCTATTCAGTAGAATTAATATACTAAAATCTTTAAAAATATTGTGTTTAGTAAAACCTGTAAAACTAAAACTGAGAAAAAAAAATGTGTCTAGTAAAACTGGTAAACTGGAAACTTGAAGAATATTGAATTCAGTGAAACTGTATGGTGAACGAAGAATGCAAATCGTATAAGTATAAACATACCTCCTTCTTCATGTTTTCTAAAATGATGGCTTTGAGCTCAGCGAGACTTTTATTGATTCTCACTCTTCTTTTCTTCTCCATTTGTGGCTTATTTGGCTAAACGATAATAATAATAAAACACATTTACTATAAGAGCGTGTAACTTATAAAAATTTACAATGGCGAATGTGCAGACAAAGCAAATCACAAACACTTAACCATAATTAACTTAGTAATACAACTTCGTATTTTAAATGCAAGCATCTCCAGAACGGTATGAAGCTATTAATCATATATAAATAAAACTTTATTAAGGATTGAAAAATCCACTCACGTAGGATCAAAAACGTTAGTAAATAACATTAAAAAGCTGTGGGAAAACCCCAGCGCTTTCGTTAGATGGACTTGTCGTGTGGATGATGAAGTATTTAGATGAACACAACTAATCGATTAATTCATTTTCAGTAACCAGACTAGTTAATCGATTAACCCTGTAGGCTGCTTTCTTTCTTATAGTTTTATGTGACTTGGAAATATTGAAAAAAATATCTTTCACACCAGTTGCGTTTTTTGACAAAAGAAGCACACAAAAGATATTAAAATTATTTCAAAATTACAAGGAAAACAAATTATCTTATTTAATTCGAATTACTACTACTTTCCTGCTTACCAATTCTTTTGGATAAAATGTCACTATAGGTTTAAGTCCCATGCGAAAAAATGTCGTTATGAACATTCTAGTTTTCGTTATAATTTAACCAAGTCGATTTCCAGATCAATGGTCAGACAAATCGCCAGTACTGACGCTAAAGAGGCACGTGCTACTCTGCATGCTAGTCCTAAACGTTTCAAATCTGTTTTAAAGCCACTTTGTTTAAAATTATCACGAAATCTCGGTTTTGTTTTCGTAAATAACTTACTTATTACCAGGCCAGTTCGAATAACTATCACGTGGGAGTAGATATATGTGGGGGTGGGGCTCCCAGCTTCTTAGATAATTATTTAAAATAAACATGATTAATTGTTACAAATTTTGAATTCAGATAACCCGCACATGTAATATTTTAAGAATCAGGGCTGGCTCTTGAGTTGAGCAACGTGTGCTCCCGCACAGGGCGCACACCCCGGAAAGTCACATGATTGGTTAATTTTCTTTTGTTTCCTATGATTGGTTAATTTTCTTCTGTTTCCTATCATCCTATGTATCATCGCTCAGTTTTCAAAGTAATGTTGTTGTTTTTTAAATATCGCCTCATGGAGCTCTATTCTGATGTATGTATACGAAATTATCAAGGGGGGTCTAAATTATAAAAATTTAGAGACGTTCTACTTATGATCATGTATACCTTACACTCTGATTAAATCTCTAAATCTTAATATATCCAGCCCTAGGCAAAATTATGGCCTGTGCCATCTTTATATTCGAAACCCCCGCCCCTTTCAAATTGAGAAGAAGTATTAACTGCAATATCTATTTTGTCGCCCTTTGTTTCGTCTGGTCACTATCCTAAACCCCGAGCATGATCAAGTTTTAAGTTGTCATGATTTACCTTGGCATATTCAAAAATATTTAATAGATGGCGCATGCGAACGTTTTAACTTCATCTTTGTTCTTCCAATTTACAAGTAACCTTAATCTAAGCATTTTACCCTATAAACAATGTTTGTTTGTTTTTTCTTTTTGTTTGAAATAAATTGCGTCTGTTGTCCACGATGTACCGTATCCAGGAGATAATCCAACGTCATGGTATTCAACCAAAAGGATATGACAGGAAGGTTAACTTGTCTTTCATCATTTGAAACCAGAAGCAATTGTAGGCTGTATCAAAAACTGTCCTTATACTTCCTAACAATGACGTCTAACATCCGGACAGACAAGCTCGGCTATAGCCGTCAAAAAGAAATGTTTATAGCGCCTTGCTGGTTATAGGTTCCTTCGGGAGGTCAGGGGAGGATCTAACTGGAGATTGTCGTGTAAGGGGAGGATCTAACAGGAGATCGTCGTGTCACTTTTAAGTAGTAAGAAAAATTATTTCAACGCCACAGCACCGGGCCACTGTCACTCGCGCCAGATCCGAGCCATTATCCGTTAAGATGTCAAGCAGAGACAAGCAAGGCCAAGTACGAAAAAGGGTAGGACACCTTATGTTGGTGTTAGTTTGGTGTGATTGGGGCAAATGTATGTATAGTGTTTATAAGAAAACGTGTTTGTTCATGTTAGTTTGGTGTGATTCGGGCAAGTATACGTATAACGTTTATAAGAAAACATGTTTATTCTTGTATAATTATATATGTATGTACGTTAGTACACCTGCATACAAATTACCCGATAATATGAAAACGAAAACTGTTGTACCCACGAAAGTTAACTTGGTTCGTTAAGACACTGTTGTACCCATGAAAGTTAACTTGGTTCTTAAGACACTGTTGTACCCATGAAAGTTAACTTGGTTCGTTAAGAACACTGTTGTACCCACGAAAGTTAACTTGGTTCGTTAAGACACTGTTGTACTCACGAAAGTTAACGTAGTTCATTAAGACACTGTTGTACCCACGAAATATAAGGTGGTTCATTAAGACACTGTTGTACCCACGAAAGTTAACTTGGTTCGTTAAGACACTGTTGTACCCATGAAAGTTAACTTGGTTCGTTAAGACACTGTTGTACCCACGAAAGTTAACTTGGTTCGTTAAGACACTGTTGTACCCATGAAAGTTAACTTGGTTCCTTAAGACACTGTTGTACCCACGAAAGTTAACTTGGTTCGTTAAGACACTGTTGTACCCACGAAAGTTAACGTG